TTAGGGGAATAGTTACTAATTCTGTTGCAAATCACTGTCAGATGTGCAGCACCACAATTTTTCAATTAACGACATACTTACCAACACTGTTGACGTAACTGAACAGAGCTGCAGCAGCGTTCATTTGAATATACCTCTGCTTAGGATCTGTTGTCTGTGTTCTGCACATGTAGACCAAGAGGAGGCATAGAAGAAAGTCTGTGTCTAAAGCATCTGAACTTTAATATGGTTGAAGAATTCAGCATGTATTTCGGAACTTCTCCCCTGTCACATCATCTTTTATTTCATTCAGTAGCTGAAACCCTGTGCAAGTCCTTCACATTCTCCTTCACACCCTTTACATAAACATCCTCTCACTCCTCAAACATCTTCTTAACTCTGAGGAGATCTCAGATGACCAACAGCTGCCATACTGACATCAGGGCTGCAAATGTTCCACCTGCTTTCTTCTGACATAAAATTTCAGCCACAGCTTCCTTTGTTGCAGAGGTGGTAAATCAGGTGCTGAGGTTATTTGTATAAACTTCCATTCTCTCCTCCATGATTTTTGCATCCCTGAACAGGAGCACCTTAAAATTTATATTTAAACATTTCATGAGACCAGACAGTGCCGATTTAAACCTTTTTTGGCAGAAAATTATGACACCTTAGTAAATATGAAGACAAATTTTACAGTTTAGCACCTATAGATTTGCTGCAAAGCTTATTAAATATCTCCCTTAGTCCCAAGTGTGATTAAATATCAGAGGAAAACAAATGTCAGTGAATGTTTTGCAGTTACACTCAACAACCTCCTCTCATTATATGTTTCTATGTGTCTCATTTCTCTATTACCATTCATGCAAATGTTATGTACTAGGTGCTGTAGAAAAGTGGACTTGAGTATCATTCATCCCTGGTGACCAGATGGAGAAAAAGCAAGGAGTCCAGTTTTGTTTGTGACTATTCATGCACTGTTCTGTCCTCCCCCTGTTGATATCTACTGTAAGTGCTAGAAAGAAAAGCACACAAGCAGGCAGACAGACTGATCACTACTGTAGGTTTGATCTCCATTCATCCAAGACTATGAATAAGAATATGCCTTTTTATAACCTATATGCAGCCCTGTAGAGGCTTTTATATTTAATATCCCTACTGCCTTTTCACTTTTATTAGCTTCATCTTTATTAATCCCAGTGGGGGCAACTCACGCAACAAAAGGTCTAAAAGGTGATTACTGGTGGGCTCTAAAGCAAGAAAGCACACATTTTGTGGAGAAAACATTAAACCCACAGTCTTTCATGGCAGTAATTCTCTTCTAATTTAGCTAACATTTACCATATGTGCCTGTTTCATACATAAACAGACTCTAGGTGGTCACTTTAAAGTCTGTGCTTGTTCCCATTAACTGTATGTGTGCTCTAGGATACTGTAATTACCAAGCTGTTAAGTGTACACTCACCAAATCTCACATCCATTATTTTGTTTCTTCTTTTGTAACCACAGGAAGCTACCGCTGAAGGAAGAAAATGGAAAAGAGTCTCTCAAGCCAGATACGATTGAAATCAAAGTGCACAGTGACAACAGCATCCACACAAAGCCCGACGACAGCAAAGCGTAAAAGGGTCGGCCCCCTCAGCACCAAACAAACATTCAGATCACGAGACCAAAACCCAGAGAAACTACAAAACTGGAAGATAGTGGAGTGAAATATCTGTTTATAACAATGCCCCAGTGAACGGCATATGTAAATACAAATAACAGAGAGAAAACAGGAAGGAAGGGTCAACATTTTAGACACCCTGAGTGATAAATGTATCATGTTCTTACAAACATGGCATCAGTGGAAAGCTCTTGTTGATCAATGATTGTATATTATGTTTTGCTTTTATTTGTCTCACTTTTGTTGTCTATTCATAACTGTTGTTTTTCTGAAGATGCTTTCTTGTTCATCTTTCCTTTTCAAAGCCCACATAAGACTTTCCTACAGGTAAATGAAAATGATTCTTGAGCCCCCTTCTATGACTTTTCACACAAAAGACACAATCACAAATGCAGGCATAAGTTAGTGTGCTAGTGTACCTCTAAGCTCACACCACTCTCGCTCTCATTTGCCAGCCCACTGCAGGGTATCACAGTGATTTAAACCCAATCGCCTGTTTCCATGCCTGAGTGTTACACCACAGCGATCGTTTTATGCCTTTTTAACTGAAAAGGTTGTTTGGCTAATGAGCAGCAAACACTGTAGCATCGTATTTCAAGCTAGCTGGCTTCAGTAACAAAAGTCAAACTCCTCTGACTTCAGGAAAACAAGACTACAGGTATCATTTCAACAGGAGGACAGTTGTATCAAACAGACCCTAAATATTAATTATTAAGAATAATGTGGACTTCATATTTAATGCATTATATGTGAAGGGCTGTAGTGGATTATAGTTTGTGTTGCAGGAAAATTTTTCAAAAATCTAGACAAAAAGAATGTGTTGCTATGTCTATGGAGTAAACAGTGTAACATCACATATGTGCATTGATGTTGTTGTTAGCCAGTCCTTTTTTATTGATGCTGAATATTGTTGACATTCTTCAACTGTCTTACAATGTGTGCATAAGTTGTTTTATTCATTTGTGTTCACATCGCATACACTGTACTGCTGCCAGAGGTTAACGGCACTGCGAGCCAATTTACGATTTGATGAACAACTTGAAAAAATGATGTGTTGAAAGGCTTCTCCACAAGTTCCCTGATATGTGTCACTACTGTCTGTAAAAGCAGGGAAAGCAGTGAATGGTTGGACTCAAGGCATGGGAACCGAGAAAGAAAGAAATGAACCTGTCATATGTTATGTATGTTTTTAATGATGAACACTGGTTTTCCTATTCATTCCTGTTTCAGATCTGCCTCAGATTCCTTTTTAAAATCTTTTTTTTTTTTTTTTAAAATCTGATCACTGTTCTCTCTGATGTTGTCATGTGTTGTACATAGATGAAAAAAGAATATTTTACAGAGCTTTTATGTAAATATACCCTAAAGAATGTGTCTCTTTTCAAAATGCAACAGGCTTGGCTTTTTGTGGATGCTCCTCAGATGAAAAGCTGCTTTTTTTCCTTTTTTTATTATTATGTTGTGTTTTTGGTCCAGAGTTCAGTGATGGTGTAATATTGCTTTTTCTAGTCATTTGTTTTCCTTTAACAAAATCCATGCCCTAAGGCTATTTCACGGTATTTCAGTGGAGGCAGTAATTACAGCATTCTCTGTTTCTTTTTTTCCCTTCCTCTCCTTGTGGCCCAGTGCCGCTGCAGCAGTGTAGACCAACAAATGAATTCTTGATCACAACTTTGCTGCTTTTGTTTGCCACAGAATGTGTCAGAAAATTGAATTTTATTGGGATGCTGTGAGATGAGAAATGTAGTCTTAGGATTGTGGGTTGTAGTCAATGACACTGGAAAAAAATGTGTATAACTACCTACTACAACTAGATGCTAGGCTGATGCTGTAACTCTGGAGTAAAAAGTGATGGGCTGCAAATATTTGGTTTTAATGTGATGTATTGCATCTTCATGAGTGTGTGTGTGTTTGTGTGTGCAAACATGCATGAGTGAGTGAATGTATCAGGTTGTGTGTATGTCCGTTGAATGCATCTGCTTGTACTATGTGTTTGTGAGAGCATGTGTGCCCATTTAATTTTTCACAATAAGAGTCTCCCACTTACAATAATATCCTAATTTATAGAGTTAAGACCCCAATTTTAGAGTGTGTGTGTGTGTGTGTGTGTGTGTGTGTGTGTGTGTGTGTGTGTGTGTGTGTGTGGTTGTTTGTCTGCATATCAGCCCTGTGATAGACTGGCGCCCCGTCCAGGGTGTACCCCGCCTTGCGCCCGATTTCGGCTGGTGTTGGCTTCCCCCCCCCCACACTCTCGCGGTATAGATATGGATAGATGGAAATTTAGCTATTCTGACAATTCTTTTCAATTTTATTTTGATAACTATTTATGTAATTTATGTTTATTTTTGTTAACTGTTTATAGTAAATTCGAGTGTATTATTAAGCACACTTTGCAGCTCCATGATGCATTGCTTGGCTCTGCAAATCTAAGAGGTTAGGATGACCACATGCCAAGTAAGAATGTCTGTGTGGATGTGAGTGTGGAGTGAGCTGGCAAGAGCTCTCATGCCGAGTTTCGGAGTGCGCTGTGATAGGTAAAACCTGATTATGTAGTTCTTGACAGTGATTAATTCCCCAGGCTACAGCACTTCACACACGTGTCTGTGAGCTCCCCTGCTGCTGCCACCTTGCCACTATTCCCTGCCTCTGAGACTCCATTGGTTTTTTTTATCTCAGATCTTGTAGCACTAGCTTTGTTTTCTCACAGCGAGCCCTTGTACTTGCATATCTCAAATGGATGGTCCTGCCATAGAGTGGTTCCGCTGCCTGTTATGATGACTGTAAATATGGGAGCACAGTGCCTGGAGGCTATACGATTTGTACATGTTCTTTTGTATTTGAATTTGAGTCTAAATCCCCAACTCCCTCTCCCCTTTTATTTCCTCTCTCTCTCTGTGTCCTCCAACATGCCTCAGTCCTTTTTCTGTAGGGGGTAAAACAGGTGTGTTTGAGCTCAGTGTACACTATGTGTCCTCTTTGTCCCCATGCTCCCTATGTCCCTTGGACTGTCCCCACTGAGTGTACTTTGTGCAGGAGGTGGGAACTATTGATGTCTCTCTGTATGTACCTGTGGAACACTTGTGACTCCTGTCATTTGCCGCTGTAAATAAACATGTCCTGGTAGAAGAGAGTGAGACGTCAGTCATGTTGTCTCATTTGTGGCTTTTCACCAGCTATGTTGTCTCATTTGTGGCTTTTCACCAACTTACTGTATATGTTGGTGTCCTTATGATCATAGAAGTGTTTTTGAAATGTAGTTACCATCAAAGTAAATATTTTGTGTAATATTTTACCATGAATGTAAACTATGACAAGAATGTCATAATAGCCCTGATATATAACCTCAAATAATTAAAATGATGCACACATCAGAAGCAGCCAGCACTAAATGTGATACTTCAGATGTGTGCTGAAGATACGGGAGCCCCATTTTGAGAGGTTTCTCTCATTAATAATTTCCTGAGCTTCACTACAAGGTAACATTAACCACCCAGTAGGAAAAAGATAGTGCTGTAGATACCAATACTGGGGGAACATTTCATTATAATCCTCAATGGTCTGTGCCTTAGTCTGGTGCAATTGTGAGATAAAAGCATACTACTCCACAAAGACAGCTTTAATAGCTTTTTTTAATTTTTCACAGCTGAAGTCAGCAGAGCTCTATTTTTCAGAGGACAAAGTGTTATTTTCATCAAGGTCATTCCTAAACCTCCATTACTCCCATTTTAAATGGTAACTGTATTCCATTCGAATCTGGCCTCCCTGTGCCTTAATGATGATGATCAAAGAGACAGAAAAGCTCCACTCAAAGCAGGTATTAAAACAATTCTGAATAGCATGGAATAGACACAGTGTTATTTAACAAAGCTGCCCCCTCTTCAGGACCTCATTTGAAGTCAGCAGATAACGTTTCTCAGACATCTCCCTCTCACGTGATGAGGAAGGGACGGTGTGAGCTGCCTGTTGGATTCTGGCTGCAAGGGCCTCTGTTAATAAAGGGAACAAACTTCAACTTTCTCCCACAGGGGCTCTAAGGAAGTCTGCACATCAAACACTGAGTCTCATTCGGACTTAAGGGATGCAGAGAGGTGCCGCTCTGGGAGGTAAGGAGGTGGGGGTGCTACAGTATGTAAAGATGGGGAGTAGATGAGTTGAACAATTACAGAAAGACAAGAGAAGTCATCCTCTCCTTTAGTTGTCATGTAGTACCTTGATAGCCAGCTACCTTTTTTTGCACAGGAAGTTAAACAGTACCTTGATAGCCAGCTACCTTTTTTGCACAGGAAGTTAAACAAAAGAAGTGTTGGACCACATACAAACAAACAACTGTTTTGGGGTCTTCAGTGCCACCTGGAAGTCACACACCATGTGACAAGATAGCACAATAAGCCTTTAGGTAACATTTTTCCCCTAATCTTTCCATGTGCAGAAACTCCCATGATGCTGTGTGGTGACAGCACCTTAATCCCAGCTATGAGAGAAGTTAGGGAAGTCTGAGAAGAAATCACCCTGCTATTGTTGAAGTTTTCTCTCTCGTACACTTAATCAAACACACACATTTGCACACACAATCCACAGTGAAACACACACACAAACTAATTTCTGAAACTTTGCCAGCATGTGCCACATGGGCGAATCCAGCAGAGAGGTTTTTGGCAGGTACAACCCTCATCTTTGTTAATCTGCTTGATTTCAGACATTCCCAGAAGAGGCCTGAGTCTCCACTGGTTAACATCAGAAGAGATGGAAAGTTGCAGGTATGCGTGTGTGTGAACTGGAGATGCTACGACTAATTCTCATACAAGAATGAATATAAAATGTATCTTGGCAGAAAAGCACTGGTGGACTTTTCTCGTTTGAAAGTTTGACCACTGTGCAATATTACATCACACTCAAACCAGATTTATTAAAAGGTAAAAGTAAAACTTGCTGTGTATATCCTTGGTTGCAATGAATTTCCTTCTGAATAAATCATTTTCAAAGTCACTTTTATTATATTTGGAAACTTTGGTTACATCCATGTTTGCTGACTAGAAAAAGAGGATCATAAAATTACATTCACTTTTCTGATTTGATTCTTGTACGACTTGACTTTATCTACATGTCTACAGTTATATCTTTTCTGTCACATGAAGAAAAAATAAATAGCTTAATAGTTTATGTGCAAATTTGCTTTCACTGAGACACTGGAAAGGTTTGTCCAGGAATTCCTGAAAGAACTGAAACACCACCAGAAAGATTTAAAATGATGTCACTCCTGTAAAAAAAAATGTAAATGTAAAGGTAAATATCTCATAAAATGTGCATTTAGCTCACACACTCTTGTGTGTTACAGCCTGCTCAGTGTTTTATAACTAAGGTGTCACTTTATTTTTAAGCTCATTTAATAAGACAAGTTGAACCAGAACAGACTCATTTGGAGCAGCATAGAAACACATACAGTACACACATGGATCACTGTGTAGAGCTATGGGCAGCTTCTGCACAACTTCTATAATTAATTAAAGTCCCACTCCAGAAACATTTTCATTTTTATATTTGTATATAAAAATACTTTACTATAAACAATATGCAGTCTAACACAGCTTTTCCTCAAAAAAATTTCAGTGGGCCTCTGTAATAGGAATGAACATTGCCCCTCATTGTGCATTCCAGGATCTATGAATGTTGCCGTCATCCCTTATGTGGATTTGAATAATTTTGCACGCCCAATTTTTCAGTTTTTTATTTGTTAAAAAAGTTTGCAATATCCAATAAATTTTGTTCCACTTCATGATTGTGTCCCACTTGTTGTTGATTCTTCGCAAAAAATTACAGTTTTATATCTTTATGTTTGAAGCCTGAAATGTGGCAAAAGGTCGCAAAGTTCAAGGGGGCCGAATACTTTCGCAAGGCACTGTAGAAGAAAAAAACAAGATGGTCAGTGCGAGCACAGTGTCCAGACTTTCTAGATGAAGAATGAAAACAAAACAACACGTTTGTGGGAACTGTAAACAAAACAGCATGTTGAAAGATGGACACAATATTTATTAAAGTGAGAGCGGAGCGACTTCGTCAATATTTCCAAGAGAAGTTGCAAAGATGAAACACATATGGAAGTGTCCCACATTTTATTGCACAGAAGATGTTTGACACTGAAACAGATTTACTGTAGCTGGAACTCAGGGATATTTCCACTCAGTTTTTCTATTATAATAATTTCTATCAGCAACTTCAGCAAAGAAACATCACCAGGTGACATTTCTTTGAAAGCTATTACATGCCCACGTCCTTATTCATTTGCAGCTGAATGTGCCATCACATGCATTCACATCTGTCAAACTCAGTGTAACTGTTGCAAATAGGAGCTATTGGGCAGAGAATTCTTAACATCTTCAAGAACTTGCTGAGCTGTGTTTTATGAATTCAAAATGAATGAAGTCACGTGTTGAAGTCGCCTTTCAGCACAGCTCAGAAGGGAAACATTATAACAACAGGGAGCAGAAATGAAAACGTAAATATCTGCATGATCTCTTATTTTTTTATTAAAAACATCTAAACATCAAATGATAAAATAGTCCTCACACTGTCTCTCTCCTTGTTGATGTACATGTTGATTCACTTGATATTTTGAGCTAAATGCACATTTTATGAGAGCTTTCTGGCTGTTCACACCACGGGCTCAGTGTTCAAGGACACACCGAGAAGAGGCCTAAATTACTTCAGATTGTAACTCTTTCATATTGATGCAGTGCCTTAAAAGAGAAACACACAAGGTATGTGGAGCTCATGTGGCAAAGTCCTTTTGATTTTCACTGCAGACACAAATAAATACATTAGGGTGGAAATCCTAAGTCACATATGCTGGCCACTTGCTGTGCTGTGATTCAGGGCTCTTTCATTATAAAGCTCTGAGCTACAGGAGTAGCTTAGTACAGGAGTCAGTTGAGTCAATGCATATACAGCTGAGCTATTAAACACTCTTTTCTACTGGATGAAAAACTTTCTTGTACAATAGAGAACTTTCAGTGCACCACTTGTTGTGAATTGCTCAGTGGAACCAGTAAATGAATTTCATGCTAGCAATTGACTATTAAGCATTTATATTGAATTGAACGGGGAAAGTGTGTCTGAACTTCTGACTGGTAGCAATGTTGTGTTGTCGTGTTTGCAGTCAAAAGCAGCCCGTGATTTGTTTTCAGATATTTCTTACTGATGCTGGTGCAGCTGTGCAGAAATCAGTGTTTCTGCTCTTTCAGAGTAAAAGAGAGGAGAATATTTTGCCACAAGATTTAGTAATGATATGGATCTATGGGAATCTTCTGTTCTAACATAAATATTACAGTAAGTGTGTGTTGTAGAAAATAGGCCTGTTGCTATGTAAGTTTAATCTCACACAATTAGGCATCATCAATTACTGATGTTTATATGCTTTATTTTACAATCACATGTTGTAATTCTCTTTTAGAGAAAGAACTGTGCTGAAAATATTGTGATAAAGTTTTTATCTACATTAGGCCATGGTATTAGTGACTGAATGGGAAAAATATAACAGCAGCACCAAGTAGTAGGTCTGTTAAAACTATTGAACAGCATCAGTGTTTAAAGGTGGCTCTTTAAACTGCAATAGCAAGAGCATTTGTGTAAGCATTTGTCTTATCAAAATCCTCTGTGAAAGTTATGTCAGTTTCTCAAAAAGCTAAACTTCAAGGTGATATCTTGTAGTATCTGGGTATTAATTTTGCCTCTGGCCTCTAGCTTTTCAGCTAACACTTTACAATACAGCTCTTAGTTATGTGCCCTAAGTAATGCTGTAATTACTTTTGTCTGTTGACTTTGTCTTCACTAAAAGCTGACACATAACAGAAACTTAGTTTTCTTTAAATTTGAAAGTCACTAAGGTTTGCTCAGCTTTAAATTCCTAATTAACCACATAGCTTGATTAAAGCCAGCTAATGTCGGCTAATCACAGTCATTCACTGATTTTAGGATTAATGAGCTAGTGCTCTCTAGTGAAAATCAGCCTATATAAAATGTTCTTGTTCTTTTTTTTTCTAGGGCTATGGGAAAACAGCTTTGATATAAGCATGGTGACAGTATTTTGAGATAATCCTATAGGCTCACATTTGATAAAAGGTTACTGA